GAGTAGTATGAGAAGAAGAATTTCACGGTAAGGTTGAGAGCTCGATGAAGTGGAATCCTGCCATGCTAGGCGGCAAGAATTTGCAGCGAAGGATTTGCCCTTACCGATCGAGCATGGCCGTTCCCGCGTCGCCATCGCCGCTGCCCGCCCACCTCCGCTGACTGGTTCTAGCCGTCTGGCAGGGAGAGCGTCAGCAGTGACGATGTCGGCACCGATGAAATCAACGAGTAAAGGGGGGTCCCATTTCGCAGTTTCCAGGTTGTTTCTTCTTCTTTCTTTCTTCATCCCTCATCACTGACCATCTTCATCTCTGATGGGTTGCCTTTAGCGTGAATCCGTCTTTGATTCTTGATCGAAGGGTGCTTCGAAATCGTGGCCCATCCCTGCCCCGCCATCCTCTCCTCTTCTTGCCCTTCTCCCTGTCCACAAATTTACTGGAGAAACTCCTTTATTTTGTGCTGCATGTATCCGCCCCATAAAACTTCTACGTAGGATTTAAGGATCATTGGAATGAATAAATTGTAAGACTGCGCAAAGACTGCTCGTCTTCTGCCTTGCGGTATTGAATTTACCCTCCCAGACAGTTTAGTTACCACTTTTCCAACCCTGGGAAATGGAGCGGCCGGATTCTTGAGACCAGACTGGACTCAGTCGTTTGAACCGTGTAATTGCGAGCCATTGCGCCACTTCCGCCTCACTGCTTGGCATCAATTTGGTTGCTAGAACCAACAATTTAAAAGGAGAAACTGAATCTGCCAAGATGCGTTTGCATCAACAGTCTAATTCACTGCTTGTGAAATTGCGCTTGAAACAAAGTAAGGTGTGAAATGGACCGTCCTTGAAAGGGAAAATGAAAAGGAATCACCGAGAGGGCTGAACATAAGTTTTTTTTGGCTGTCGACAAGCCCACCAATACGAAACACCGAGTGTTGTGGCTTCAGCAAGGCGGTTAAAGCATAAACCCTTAACCCTCTCATCGCGGGCGCTCTCAAGCCGTAAAGGTTGCCTATCTTTACGGTAGCTCGAAACCAATTTTCTTATTCACAGAAGGGATGCTTTAACGAGCTTCTTGTGAAACATGCCTTTAAGGCAAGCCCTGGGATATAATGAGTGAGAAAGAGCCTTCACTAACAACGAAGGTCAAAACGGGCTCTTGCATCATGCGAGAAAAATAGAACCATGGTTAATTTTTCCTGAACGGCCCTCTGAATACCAGAAAAGGGGGTCCCTAGTCACACCTTTTTCACCAGTTTTTCAATCAAAGTCTATTTGTAAGGGTTACTGACGGTCCTAATCATGAATATGGTACTAATTATTCATGCTAACTCCATTTTGCGCGAATTTTGAAACGTCGAAATGCAAAAATTTGTCACCACGAGGAATCGAACTAGGGACCCCCTTTTCTGGTATTCAGAGGGCCGTTCAGGAAAAATGAAACATGGTTCTGTGGTCCCATATGTGCCCAAGAAACCATTTTATATGAAAGGTTCTATGAAAATCTCGAGGTTCTATGAAAATCTCCTTAACGCGACCTAAAACTAATCTACGTGCCAAAAGCTTCACGTATAGAGCTGGCAGTGATTATATAAACATTGCAAAGAACATACCGGTTACTCTGTCACAAGCTCAGTTCAAGCATCGTATAGTCACAATACTGAGGAACCAAGAGTCATAGTTTTGTGAGACTGATTCCGAAGTTACCTGTTTTAGTATTTGAGTTTTTTGTTTATAAGCACACTGTTCTTTGTATATGCTCATTTTCTTTTCCACGTGTGCCTTTTGCAGACGTAATAAACTTATACTTATACTTACTTATACTTATACTTATTTCGAAAAAGCTTGGCACACCCTGGATGACCTCCCTTGTAAGACGTGAATGAGCGGTGTGTGTAAGAAAAATAAGGCAAAAGCAACTTCCAGTTCCTCGCCAAACATACCTCTCCTCCAGAAGTCTCACTTGGAATAGGGAAGTGTGTATCAGACGAGTTTGATCAGCTGCTTCGGACATTTAGCCGCAATGCTAACGCTGCCACAACTGTAACCGCTCTTTTCTCGGGGAGCCAGCTGTGTGTGGGGTTGTATCGGATTCCTCCGAACAGGTTCATACGACAACGTCTCTGATTTGCTCGATTCCTTTAGCAAGCCCAAACCTTTACTAAGCCTAGCGCTAGGCTTATCCTTTCGCCCTCTCCAGGTCGGTGACGGCCTGCACATGATGGACCTGAAATATGTAAAAAGGCACAATAGCTAACACAAGGGTGGTCGTAGTACCCTCCGAAAAGAGAGGGGGTCGTAAAAATTTAGAAATCGCAACACATGGTTGACCTTGATTGCGGGTCGTGCGAAACTCCTGCGCATTAGTCGCGCATTTTCAAAGGGAGTATGGTAGAAAACAGGCGGACATTAACGCTATTCTGTCTGTCGGGGAAGGAACAGATGAACGTACGCGTCCCAAACCGTGCCTTTAAAGTAAACGAGATAAGCGTTTGCTGCCAAGTTAAACGATGTATGGGCGCTTTGACGAAAAACTTGCGCTGTTTGTTGAGCACTCGAGAAGCGCTGTGCCCTAAAATCGTTCCAAACCCTGTTTATTGGTGATTTGGCCAAGCTCTGTTGCCAGCAGCGGCACAACTTGAGCAACTGAGCTGAGCCTGACAGCAACCTGACACAAAGCGCCGTGTCGCAGTAAGTTTGCATGGTTACGGTCCGCTGTCTCAGCGCCCATCCATGGGAGAGCGGGTCACGGCCAAACAGGAGTCTGTTTTTTGTGTTTTCTCCTCTCTGCTTTTTTTTCGCCACTGGTGCACCATTGAGCATCATCCCTACGTCCCCTCCAAACCTCTTCAGAACCTATTCCCAACTTGCCACTAAACTCAAGGTACCTCTGGTCTGGGTTGCCCTTTTCCATCATGCGGCCTAGTTTTTACTTCAAATTGGTTTCGCTTGCTATGCATCTTCCCCCAGGATTGCTGAGGTAGCAACTGGAAGTCCATTCCAGAAAAATTCAATGACATCATAGAAAAGTTCATGATTAAATCCCTTCTTTTTGCAGGTCGGCATCAGCTCTTGCCGATGCGGATGGTTCGAAATCCCATAAGTGTACTGTGTGCAACAAAAGTTTCGGAAGAAGTGACATGCTTACGAGGCATATGCGTCTCCATACTGGTTTGAAGCCGTACAGCTGTCAGCTATGCGGTCAAGTCTTCTCAAGATCGGATCATCTCAGCACACATCAGCGAACGCACACCGGAGAAAAACCCTATCAGTGTCCTTTATGCCAATATGCGGCGGTAAGCTACTTGGTATCACCTTGACTTCTTTGTTTTATACTTTATAGGCAACAAAAACGCAAACCACTTCATGTACGCCTTAAAGGCAGTGATCACGGCGGCTGGAGCGTGGTCGGTTGATGACGTCATTGAACGTCATTGATGGGCTGGACCACCTTGTGCTGTGGGACCGTCTCTCGAAGTCCATCCACCAATGACGTTCAATGCCATCATCAAAACCGCCACCCTTCACCCAGCGTGATCACTGATCACTTTTAAATACAAGTTTCGTAACTGCTTGGCCTACTGCTTCCAAAAAATATGCTATCTGGGCCCGCCAGGGTCAACCGTCCGTTGGACAAAGTCCAACGCGACGACGAGAGTAATGCCGAGAGTGAACGTACGCACGGAGACACAGACGGCTCGCGGGTGGCGAGAGTGAATGCCGGCGCGGAGAGCGGTGAACATCGGTCCAACGTCGCTCCAATATCGGTCCAACGTAACGGTTGACCCTGCCCCAACTGCAAAGGTAGTGGACTTCATAACTACAAACAAGTGCCAAAGACCCCAAGGACCTGCGTCTTGTGTCTATGAACACCGCTTTTTTCGCCACGCAAGTTTAATGCGTGGCGCATATAAAAAAGACTAAATGAAGGGAAGATGGAACGAATTGGCCAGTAGTACATGCAATCCATGAAGCAATAGCTTGGCTGAGAAGGAAGCGAGATATAGCGCTTTCACGACGAAAGGTGCACTGACTGCAGAGCAGCACGTGAAAATCGCCACGCCCCTAGGTGCTGCACAAATTAGTTTGCTTCGTGATTTGGACGAGCTGTGCTGCCAGCAGAGCGGCAAAACTGGAGCAACTCGGCGGAAGCATAGATTGGCACTGAACGTGTTGCCGTAAACTCGTCCATACGTCCGCCATTACAGCTGCTGCAAGTCTTACAGATAAAATCAATGGCCACACAATTGGGTTCCGCTTTAATTTTCTTGGTGAACCCGTCTGATTCTGTTGCCACTGGCGTACCATTTAGCACCTTCAGACCCTCACTAAATACCTCCAGAACCTATCTTAATCGCTGTCCCTACTGAACCTAAAGCGACTTCCCTTGTACTTATCTCTTCGTTGACAGAAGCCCTTGCAGTTTCATGGCACCACCTCTAACATAAACTGTCTCGAAATAAAATTTTGAATCGGATTCAGGTCAGCCATCTCCCCCCCCCGTAATCTGTAGACTCGTCTGCAAGAATAAACACCCCTATGTGTTGACTGGCTCTCAAAATTCATTGTGTACGCGAAATCGCATTCAAATGTCACGAAGATTTGAGCGGTAATAGAAGGAGGAAGAGGTAGTAGAAGGAGCAGGCGAAAGAAACCGTTTTTTTTTAAGATTCAAAGGTTTCTTCCACTGTTACCAAAAAGAGCACTGAATGAGCAGAATTAGGTAGTCTTAGTCCTTTAGAATCTTCCCTTCATCTAAATCATGACAATTCTGGAGAAAGTTTTGGGGCGAGTTGGAGAGTATTAGATTCGAATACTACCGAAACAATCATGGTGGCGAGGATGATATGTGGGAGGGGACTCTGGTTCGTTTTCCTCCAAGTGTGGTGTTACGGGTTGTAGGTTAGCCCTCTTCGCGACTCACACTATCTCTTATCTCTCACAGTGCCTGTCTACTGCTCCGCAGTGTAGAACAAGAAGGTTCTCATTTTCGATATTTTCCACCATTTTCTTTGATTTTTTCTACAATTGCAGTCCATCTACCATTTCCACCTTCATATTTGAGTGGGATCCACATAAATTTAATCTTGACCCTGCCTTTAAAGGCA